CCCAAGAAAACTTCATTTACCATGAAACCTATACCTTTCCTATTGACAGGCCCTTGAACGGTTGAACCTTCATTTGTGATAGACAAATCTATCCTGTTCTGCTGTGCATTCATATTTCAACACTCTGCTCCAATTGTTACCCTTTCCTATATTGTATTTCCAAAACCCAAGTGTTGAATTTTATGGTGGATGCTCTCTCTTTCTACTCTCTTAAATAAATGAAAAAAAAAGGCAAAAATGAAAAAAGAAATTTAAAACTTAGGTTTTGGAAATACAATAAAAAAACAGGGTAAAATTGTCTTATAAAATTTCAAAACTGACAAAATACTAACAAAGTATTGGAATTTGAAAATACAGGATATTTCTTTGCCACAAACTAAAGTTCAACTGTTCAAGTACCCAAGTGTCATTGCCCCCCAAAGTTCAGGGTAGATCTCTTTATTTTACCGGTTTACCCAAATATGTTTATATGGGGACCTAACTTGGTCGGACCGGGTCTAACAAATATAATCCATTGATGGACCCGGATGAGGTACCCGCCAGTTAGATAAGAAACCCCTTCCGACACCATATCCTGCCTTAATTTGTTGTTGGGTTTAACCACATCTGACCCACGTGCCTGCCCAACTGCACAATGACCTACAAGACCAATTGGCCCACCCAACCATGTAAGCTGTTGCTATTGAATTGGGCCCTTGCAATCGCTTTATGTCAATGACAATGACACTCTACGAATGATGTTTGGGGCCTTGGGGGAACCATGAAAATTGTGCATATGGCCCATCCGTACTGTTGGTCGTAACATGGAATGGTCAATTTTGTAGCTCTGAAAATGCCATTTGAACTACCAAGGTCTAAGAGGCATTTATTGGCTCATTAGAGGTCAAAGACTTGACCAATAACGACAGTTTGGGTTGGGGAGTTCGGATATCCTCCCAACAAATCACCACAACCGTTCATCTTCTTGTTGGAAGTATTTGTTGGGAGCATATTATTTGAATCCTAACTGAAAAATAGTATGTAATGATAGAATATTTTTTTATGCAATTTGGACCAATTCATGTACCTTCTAAGTAGGGATGCAAGTTGGGTCGGGTTCCCAACTTGAATAACTTATGATGCATTAGTCATGGATCATCGGTCGGGTCCATTTCATCTATTATTGCCCTTTTCCCAAGGCAAATTGATTTTGGTCCATATCGAGAATGCAAGCTCAAACTCTAATGGATATGCAGTGAACAGAGCAGAGTAATGGAACATGATGCATATAGTTAAGATAAGGTTTAATTGAGCTGAGTTAAAATCTGTGACATTTCTATTTATCTTTAATAATGCAACTCAGGTTGCCCTGAGTTAGCATTCAGAGATTGGCTCTATTCAATTTTTGATAAAAGCTAAACCTGAGTATTAGGTAATCTTTGTATTATGTAACAAAATACATAAACCAAAGATATCTAAGTTTGATGTGCAGCCAATATCAATGAGTATATTGTACTTAAACTCATCTTACTATTACGTCAAACTGAATGATAAAATTAAGTTGTAGTTGAACTCATCTTACTATTATATCAGACTAATGGTAAACTTAAAGGTTATGGGTGGGAGGCTATTACTTAATATCATCTTTATATTATTAATAGTAGGGATATCAACGGGTCGGGTTTAGCACAGGTTTGCCTCAATCCTAACCCAACCCTCTAGTGTCTCAACCTGAACAGATTTGATTATTCGACTTAAAAATGTATAATTTTTAAACCTGATCAAATCTGTAACATTTCAATTGTATTTTATATGTTTTGAAAATCAAAAAGCCATTAATTTTAACTTAGGAATTTATCTTATAGATTCTAAGGTGTCAATTTTTCCATAAGAAAATCAAAATCATAAACTTTAAGTCTATGGAGTTAGAAGTCAAAAAGTTACAAGAATGCTCGGTATATATGTATGTATGTAGGGGTATAAACAAATCGAATTCGAATCGGATCAGGCAATATCGGAATTCGAATCCAATTAGAATATTCGATATCTGAATTCGATTTAATATCCAATGGATATTGAAAATTAATAAATATTTTTTATATATAAATATATATATATTTATAATATATAATATAATAATATGTTATTTATTATTTAAAATATAATATTTTATATATATTTCTAGTGTTTTATTATATATTTATATATTATTTTATAATATATATTGTAAATAGTAAAAAATCGATGGTTAACTGAATTGGTCAATTGATTATCCGATCAACTTTGTTTCGGTTTCAGTTTGTAACCCTGGTTCGATTTCAAAAATGAACCCACGGTTCGGTTAATCAAACCGTAAGTACCCCTAGGTAGACAAAATTCAAAAATAAAGGTATTTTAATCAAAAGAATTCTAAAATCTAGACTCATTTATACTTTTAATAGTAGTATATATATAAATAAATAAGATATGAAAATTCCAAATTGATGATAGCTTCTAAAATGTAACTTGAAGTAATTTTTTCTTGAATGAGTAAAACATCTGAAAGTGCTTTTAATTCTACCCTATACAAAAAAAGTAGATTTGTCCACAAATTGAATAGTCTAAATTAATTAGTGATGGAGGCTTGTTTTCAAGGAAGGCTTGCGTGCCTTTTTTAGAATTCTAGTGAGGTTTGGTAATAACTTGTATTATTCAAACTTAAGTACAATATGGTTTAGATTTCAAAAAAGTGTTATTAAAAACGGCCTTATTTGTTATACATTGAGCACTAAGAGGTAGCATTTACCCTACCAACATTGCCCGTCAGCACACATCTCATACATGCATGGCAGGTCCTAATTTTTCAGTGGATCCCAATTTCATAGTGAGATGTGCCATAAAAGATGAAGTTGGTAGGGTATTATAACGTAATTTGTGCTGCTGCAAAGGGTAAGATGTTGGGTGGGTATGATTAAAACTGATTGGTTCTTGTCCTCAAAAAAGTTTTTATTTTTAAAATAAATATTTATTTTGGACTTATTTTTTAAATATAAATAAGTATTTATTGGTATGGTCCCTACTCAAAATAGATGTTTATTCTAATAAGTACTTATTTTTAAATACTCTTAAATTTATATTATATTTGATATTCCTTATTTTAAAGACTTATCTTCTTTTTTCAATTAAAATTCCCTTATAAGCACCTAGTTTTTAATTGCAAAAAAGACATCCTTAGCCTAATACGTCAAATGGATTCACAAACAGCCATTTAGGCTTTAAGCTAATTTTAGTAAAAAAATCTGGACCAGAGAGCGTAAGTATGTATTTGGTAGAGCTTCTATTTATAACTAGACATTTATATTTAATTTATCTTCAAAATCAAAAAAAATAATAATAATATCAACCGTTTTATGACAAATAGATATCACACCAGCAATATAATAAATAAATGACTAATTATTGAAAGAAGTGTTAAAATGAAATATTTCCCAACGATAAGCATATAAAAAAATCAAGGCTAGTTTTTATAAATATCTATGTATACCAACCACCGTGATAGGCAATTCCGACGTTTTGATAAACGCTTACCGGCACACGGAACAAAACACACGCTAAATGAATACGTTGATGAATCCAAGCAAAACGCCGTGCGGATAATATGAATACGAACGGAACACCATAACCCGTATATTGGGAACATCTAATGCAACTGCAACATAAGCTATTGATGTGTGCTGTATTGTCTTCGCGTTAGCGTTCGAACGGGGTCTGCTCGTATCATATAGACTCTACCGTGGTTATCCGCATCTCAAAAGCTATTGCCACGTGTTTTACCATGTTAGGATAATGGGGACACATGTCCTAACCAACCAGTCTAAATGGTTTTAGACTTTTGGCTTCTCGTGGAACCGACTATAGGGAGTGACGTGATACAACAATATGATTGGCTTTCACATGTGAAGGGTGTTTCCGTCTTTTAACAAACGTATGTTTTCGTCATTACACCACCATACAACTTGCATGTTCCGAGTACTGATTTCGGATTTCCCTTGTATTTTGCTGGGACCCACAGGTTCAACACACATGGGTTGGTGTGGGTCCCGTCCAAAGATAGGCCAAGTCAAAATAGTTGACAAAAGTTATGGCGAGTAGGTTTCCCTCTACTCGCGCGAGTAACTCCTGTTTATGAGCGTGACAACCCAAGACGGAGCCTTTCGCACTTTCTCAGTTTCTGTTTCCTGATTAACCAAAAAGTCCTCTCATCTCATATTTTTATAATTAAAAAAGAAAAAAAGAGTAATGATACCGTGTTGACTACCCTATCATAACTCCTGCTCTTATAACCACGATCGAATAAACACAGGGACCCACCTTAACTTTGTCGGCCTTCTGGTCCCACATGGACGGGTGAGTTACCCTATTCGAGCTGACGCCAGCCCTACTACTCTTTTCTATCATTTCCTTTCACCATTTAAAATTAATATCGTACTCCCCAACTTACTCGAATCTGCTGATCCACGGCACCCATCGGACAAAATGTTGCCCTTTTCGTCTAAGACGTACCTTACTACTGTATCTCGAGTGACGCTGGATGTTTCCTTCACTTTGCTTCTTCTCGAAGATTCATTTTCGATTCCAACAAAGAGTCTCGATCCCATAAAAGCCACCTTATATCTGCTCGTTCCATGACCGTTGGATCTGTATTGATCGTGATTGGTGACGGATGATTACCTGTTCCAGTCAGGGGATTCACCGGAAATGATACGTCCTTTCACACCGTATAGGTTTTCCGAACCATGAGTTTCACACACGACTCGATTTTTAGGAAAAGGCTCGGTACCAGAAAAGAACAGCAGTAACTCCCCCTCGAAATCCCCGAAAATCCCGTCGGAGATAACCCAATCTCCGGCATATTAATAACTACACATGATAAGTAGACTAACATATCATCCGCCAGTTTGCTTATGATAAGCGAGTTGATTTATCACCTTTTTTTTTCATACCCAGCCATCTCGCTTTCGTTTTGGGTATTTAGTTTTGTTTGTTTGCTTTCTAGTATATATCTCTCTCTTCTCCCTGTCAAATCTTTCTCCCTTCAAATCCGTTTTCGTCTTGAGGAGAGAGAAAGTGCGAAGAAAAGACTCACGAAACGAGACCGCTCGTCGTCGTCGTGCTGCTCTTCGTCTCCAAATCTTTTTCCGATCTGGTCTCTCTTTCTCTCAGTCAATTGAAGAGAAGTATATAAATCACGTTCTCTTCTCTCATCAACTTTTTTGTTTTATTTATTTAATTTGGTTTTCTTTTCGCCTCTGGTCTGCCTGTTGCAGAGATGGTCGGTTGATTGGTCTCGGAGGACTGAATTTTTTAAATGGAAGCCCTATTTTGGTTGTTTCTGGTTTGGTAGGGATTGTTGTCCAAGTTTGTGTTTACTCGAATTGGATCGATCTGTGAGAGTTTCGATCTTTCTGGCTGTGTCGGTTGATCTCGGAGGACGCAGAGATGTCTTCTCTTAGCAGAGAGCTTGTGTTTCTGATACTTCAGTTCCTCGAAGAGGAGAAATGCAAGGAAACCGTTCACAAGTATGGGAATATGTATCTTCTCTTCTCTTATTTTGATTGTTTATCTGGTTTTGGAAGCTTGAATTTACAAAGAGGAAAAAAAAAGAATGTTTGGTGATGTTCTGTTTTGTTTTGTCTCGTTTAAAGATTGGAGCAGGAGTCGGGGTTTTTCTTCAATATGAAGTATTTTGAGGACGCCGTAACAAACGGGGATTGGGACGAGGTTGAGAAGTACCTCTCTGGATTCACCAAGGTAGATGACAACAGATACTCAATGAAGATCTTTTTCGAGATCCGAAAGCAGAAATACCTCGAAGCCCTAGACAAGTAGGTGGCTCATGTAAAAAAAAAAAAATTGAACTGAATTGAATTTTTTTCTGCTGACTTTTTTGTACTTTTTCAAATAGATTTTCGTATATAACTCTGACTGAATTCAATTTCTTTGGGTATTAAAAACGTAGTAATATCTGTTTTTTAATTTGTTTTGGTTCATTTGCAGAAATGATCGTTCTAAAGCTGTCGAAATTCTTGTGAAGGACTTGAAAGTGTTCTCTGCTTTTAATGAGGATCTATTCAAGGAAATAACGCAGCTTCTGACTCTGGAGAACTTCAGGGAGAACGAGCAGCTATCCAAGTATGGAGACACCAAATCTGCCAGAGCTATAATGCTTGCGGAGCTCAAAAAGTTGATTGAAGCAAATCCCCTCTTTCGCGATAAGCTTCAGTTCCCTACTTTGAAGAGTTCAAGACTAAGGACACTAATCAATCAGAGGTAAGTTATACTGGAAACTTCATGTAGTCGCCCTTCTTCTGTTTATCCATTTGAGTTCTTCCCATCAACTAATATGGTTACTTTTCCTACCTCACCGTTAATCTTTGCTTGTAGTTTAAATTGGCAACACCAGCTTTGTAAGAATCCAAGGCCCAATCCTGACATAAAAACTCTATTTGTGGACCATACTTGTGGACAGCCCAATGGTGCTCGAGCTCCATCCCCTGTCACTAATCCGCTTATGGGGGCCATTCCCAAAGCAGGGGGTTTTCCAGCATTGGCTACTCATGGTGTAAGTAAATTTAGAAAGATTTCACTCATCCTCAAGCGAGTAGGCAGGATAGTAATTTCACATGTGATGTAATTATTTGTTCAGCCATTTCAGCCAGCTCCAGCATCCCTTCAATCATCTCTTGCAGGGTGGGTGGCAAATCCATCCCAGGTGCCTCATCCTACAGTTTCTGCTGGACCCATGAGCTTAACTGCTCCTAATAATGCAGGTACACATATTATAAGGCCTTCTATTGAAACTGTTTCTTTCAGGAGATACTGTTTAAATGTGCATTCTATGACATAGACACATCTAGAAAAAATGTTGGATATCCTCTGAAAAAATATATGATGATGAAAATCACCTAAATAGTTATTATTATTTTTTTATTTCATATGACCAAGAAGAATTGTAGTTCAAACGTGGCAACTAGAAAAAAAGTAGATACATGAAGAGTTTTCTTTCTGAGATGTTTGGTTTGTGTACTGCATTAAATTGGTGACAACCATTCCCAACAGATCATATTTTTTTATCCCCTCCTTCAAATGGATGGAATGTATTGTTTAAAAGAATCTATATTAGATTAGTCATATTCTCCTTTTCCTTATCTTTTTCCTTTATTTTGAAATATAGCACTTACCCGTCGACTGATTTGTTTCATTCTATTTGCATTTATTATCTTGGCAGCAGCTATTTTAAAGCGTCCTAGGACTCCTAGTACCAACAGCCCAGCTGTAGATTATCAGACAGCAGATTCTGAACATGTTCTGAAGAGATCAAAACCTCTGGGAGTATCCGATGAGGTACATGCATATATCTATATGAACTCCTAATGGTAAATTGTTTGATGAAGCTCTTGAAATGTTTATGTGAAAAAATATTAATCTGATGGCTTTTAGAGGAATAAAGCTCTTTGAAGGTTTAAATGTCTGTTTAGTTTTAGGGGTAACTATGGTTATTCTATAAAATTTTCTTGCTAAGGGGTGTTTCGGTCCTTATGAAAATTTCCACTCAAGTAATTCCTACCATAATAATGTGGTTCATTGTATTAATCTTTGCATTGGATATGAATTTGTACAATCTTTGTGTTTCCTTCATAAATTAAAAGAGGTGATTGGAATACTAATTATGAGGTTATTAATAACTGCTAGATTTTCTCTTGTGTTTTCATTGTTTGGTTATTAATTTTTGTACATTTCACTTAGTTCATATGTGTTACACAAATGCAGAGCACATGATTCCAAATACCCTTAATAAAATTGTATACTTGCTCCCAAGGAACTTCTCTTTATAAATTTAATCAACTGGATGCTGGGACAAATTAAATATTTTGAAGGATTACTTTTTTTTTAAATCCTAGGACTTGGAAGTTTTTATGGTATGTTCCTGTACATGGATATTATGTTCGTTCTAAGTTTCTATCCAAGCAATTTCTAGGGTGTTACATTAAGCAATAGTATTAAATAAATATTCTTGTTAGATGTATATGTAAAACCCTTTTAGTTCCATTAATTAATTAATTAGAAAATAGTTATGATTTAACACTTAACGTAGTATCTTTTAGTTTCTTTGTTTTCTATTCTCGTGATGTTTATATTTCTATAAATTGAAACTTAATTGATTCTGTTTTACAAGTTTCTTTTTTCAGGTGAATAACCTTTCAGTTAATATCATGCCAGTCACATATGCTAACCAAAGTCATATTCAGAGCTTATACTCCTCTGATGACTTGCCTAAGACTGTTGTTATGACTCTACATCAAGGCCATGCTGTCAGAAGCATGGATTTCCATCCAGTGCAGCAAACCTTACTTCTTGGTTAGATATTGCTCTCCTGAAACATGTATTCATATTATTTTTTAGTGTTCTTCTGGAAGAATGTTGTGTTCCTGATCTGGATTTTGATCAATGTGTGGCATCTTATATTCCAGTTGGAACATTTATTGGCGATGTCCTGGTGTGGGAGGTGGCTAGCAAGGAGAGGCTTGCTATGAGAACTTTCAAGGTTTGGGACCCTTCTGCATGTTCAATGACTCTACAGGTATGCCTTCCAGTACCAAATGATGTTTAAATAATAGACACAAATCTTATATTTCACACTCTTATATAATCACCAAACATGAGATGAATCTCAGTCTATTATGTATGTAGGCGGCTCTAGCAAAGGAAACCCAATTATCTGTGAATCGTGTTATGTGGAGTCCCGATGGAAATATCTGTGGTAAGTTTATTTTTTGAGAGCTTTCTTCCCTTTGAACTAATCTATTTATCTTTGTCATAAACTAGATACTAGAAAATGGAATATTTGAACATTAGGTCTGTTTTTGGATCCAGAAAGAGGAAATATTTGTAAGCGGAAATAATTATTTATGAAAAATATTCGTAAGAGGAAATAATTATGTATAAAAAATATTTATTTCTATTAAATTTTCTAATCTTACATTGTGATATGGAAAGAAACTCGGTAACTAAGGTCATTGGTTAGATTTTAGGTTTACATGGAGAAGAATACTTCCATGATCAAATGTTTTATTGGAGGGGACAACCATACATTAGAACTTTTAAACGTAAAGCCCATGATCTCATCCCTTTCAAAAGGGAGCAAGTCATTTTGCCACATTCTCACTCTAGTTTTATAATATTTTGCTTCTATTAGTATGTTACTAGGAACCAAACACTAAAAATTTATTTTTTTTCTAAAATTACTTTGTCCAACCAAGCACAGTCTAGATGTTAATAATTTAGGAAGGGAGAAGGTTCAAATTAGCTACTTATTTATTCTTTGTGGCCCTGCATCAGGTGTTGCATACTCAAAGCACATTGTCCATGTGTATTCTTACCATGGAGGTGATGATCTACGACACCACTTAGAGGTTTGTTCTATCAACCCCTCATGTTCATCCTGTTCATATGGGAATTACAAAAATAATAATTATGGTTCCTTAATATCTTGATAACCTCTTGCAACCTTTTTTGTTTTTTTTTATAATCTATTTTCTGTATTTTCTATTTGACCAACTATGACTGCACTTTTCTCAAGAAGTTATTTGTTATTATTCAGATTGATGCTCATAATGGTGGTGTAAACGACATAGCTTTCTCTCACCCAAACAAACAATTGTGTATAATAACTTGTGGAGATGACAAGTCTATCAAGGTTTGGTTTGTTATATAATTTCTTTTGATGGGATTTTTAGGCTTGGAGTTTCTATATTGATGCTTGAGATGTGTGCAGGTATGGGATGCAGTAACTGGTGCCAGGCAGTATACTTTTGAAGGTCATGAAGCACCTGTTTATTCTGTATGCCCACATTATAAGGAAAATATACAGGTAGCACCCATTTCTATAAATGCACTTTATTTTCTTAGTCATGTTTATTAACTGATTTATTGTATCTGTCATAGCAGCTGTGCTTGGTTTCATGTTTTCAAAATTCTTCCCTTCCTCATATTTATTCATATTCTCTTTGTCAGTTTATCTTCTCAACAGCACTAGATGGGAAGATTAAGGCATGGTTGTATGATAACATGGGGTCAAGAGTTGACTATGATGCACCGGGTCATTATTGTACAAGGATGGCCTATAGTGCAGATGGGACACGGTACGCTTACAAAGCTTTATATTTCTTTCATTGTTTGTTATTATGGTCTCCTGTTTCCCTTTCTCATCAGAATGATGAATGATTGATCCCTTCATATTTGCTGTGTTTTAACCATGGTGATTTGTCTGCATGTCTGACAACTTTTAGGTTGTTCTCGTGTGGAACAAGTAAGGATGGGGAGGCATACATTGTGGAATGGAATGAGAGTGAAGGAGCAGTTAAGCGAAGTTATCATGGTTGTGGGAAGCGATCTGTGGGTGTTGTGCAGTTTGATACCACTAAAAATCGGTTCTTGGTAGCTGGTGATGAGTCTGTTATCAAATTTTGGGACATGGACAATGTTAACCTCTTGATGACTACTGATGCAGAGGGTGGATTACCGGTAATAGGACAGCCAACATTATTTGCTCTACTTATCTTCTTTATATTTTCCTTTTCCTTTATAATTTTAAGTTATCTGAGGAAATTCCTTCCTAGGATGCTAATGTTAATCAATCTTATTTTAAACATCTCTTAGCCATCTCCTTTTATTCGGTTCAACAAGGAAGGGATACTATTGGCTGTTTCAACAAACGACAATGGGATCAAAATTCTTGCAAATGCAGATGGGCTTCGATTGCTACATACTATAGAGTCTCGTTTTGATGCATCTAAAGTTGCTTCTGGGTCTGTCATGAAGGTATAGAAAATTTTAAATCCTTCTATCTGTGGTTTGGGCATGTTTATTGATTGTATAAAGTGACTTATCATGCAGGGACCCACGGTTAGTCCATTTGTTGCTGTCCCTGTTACAACTGGAACGAGTGTGGGGGTTGCAGATCGAGGTGCTCCAGTGACAGCAATGGTTGGACTGGTTAGTATTTAATATCTTTTTCATAGGGATAATCATATATTTTTCTAGAAAATCTTATTTATGTATTATTCACCATGTATTATTTGTTGAATAAGTCCATACTGTGCTTTATATAATCTGTTTGTGCTATTTTTAGCTGATATACTTGTTTGATTTTTAGTGCATTGAGTCAATGACTTCTTTGAATTCTATCCAGAATGGCGACACCAGAAATTTGGCAGATGTAAAGCCAAGGATTGTGGATGAGTCAGTAGAGAAATCCAAAATTTGGAAGCTGACTGAAATTAATGAACCATCTCAATGTCGCTCTCTGAGGCTCCCTGATAATTTGCCAGCAGCAAAGGTATGGTTCCACTATGGTACAAGCCTTAAAAGTTACTGACTAGAGTTGCCAGCTTTTCTGGACATTCAAATCTCAATGTGGGTCATGGAGGGCAACATTGCCATGCATTTGACTCTTTCCCCCCTTCTTTCTATTTCTTTTTATTTTTAAGTATTCTCTTATTCAAATTCCATGCTCAATTATGTTGTTCAGATACCATGTTGCCAATGAATGTTGGTTATTGTCATGGTCATCAAACTGCTATGTCCCTTAAATCTTTTCCCTAAAAGATTTATTAACCGAATGTAAAATCTTCTAAAATTAATGTATAGAATGTGTGGCACAGTGGCTTAGACATTATAGATATCATATTTACAACTTTCCATGCACATGCTCACCTTCCATTTTGAAGTATCTATAAAGATTTGATCAACAGAGGCAAGCCTTCATAACATGAATTTGTCACTTCTCTCAAATTTCAACAGTAATGGTCATCATACACTAAATTTTGGTTACTGCCTTACTGGATTGGCTAAATTGTTGCAACTTGCTAGAGATAAGGATCTCCTACCGTAGTTTATGTTCATGCAAAGAATTTTGCACAACTAAAGATGATTGAAAAGAATGCAAAGAGGAAAAAAATCTAAAGAAATGTTGGTGTGCATCTCTTGAAATCCTAGGAATGCAACTCCTGCCATTATCGACCCAAAACTTAGCATTAGGTTTGCTTCGCTTTGCATTTTATACACCTTGGATGGTCTTGGACTATCAACTAATGTGTTCAGTGCAGTTCTTAATATAATTATGTAACATTAAAGGCTAAAACATTGGTCTTGCATATCTAATAATAAATTATTTTCTGCTGAAGTACTTTTTGTATTGATATTTGATAGCAAAGCAAATGTTATTAGAAAGGGTCAAACTAGAGGGAATAATAAAAGGATAGAAAATACTCATATAATGTCTGCATAAGAATGCAGAACCTGTTTGGAGCGAAGTAGTGCTTTCCATGATATGTTAACTGCTTTCTAGGTGCATGGTATTTAAAAGGCTTGAGCAAAGGGGGTAAAGTGTCATGGGGAATTATTCTGGCAGTAGTTTTTTGGGCTGTGTTGGGGGAATGGAATGTTCGAATGTTTGAGGGTAAGCAGAACTCAGTAGAGGAAGTCATGAAGAAAGTCTTGGGTATGCTGTTTCCTCACCTTGTACCTCAAACTCAATGTACCTCTGTGCTTTATTTTGCTCTTCTCACATTCGATTACCACCTTGACCTACCCACCATGCTTGCTTGTGATTCATTCAATAGACATAGTGGAAGAGGCCTTACCATGATATGTTCCCTGTTCACTCTCTTTCAACTGATTTAGGTATTGAATCAATTTCATGGAGGAGAGCAAAAAGCTCCTTATTTGACTCCACAAGTTCTGTTCCTACCACATAGCCTTCGTTTGTTTTTTTTGGTAATTTGGAGGGGGAATTTTTTTCTTTTTTTTTCTGTAATAGGAGGGGAAAGTTGGTTGGCGGTAAAGTGATTCCCATTGACCAACTTTCCTGTATTCACTTTTTCAGTAAGTTGTGGGCCCTGTGGTAAAGTTCTCCCAGGTGGGTAGGTAACTTCACCACCCAAATGGAGCCTTAGGGGTGCAAGTTGGGATGGGTTAGGTTAGATATTGAGCCAATTATATGGAGACCAAGAAGCTCCTTGGTTAAGTCAGGTTCATATTTTTCAACCCAAAACCAAACTTCAGTCTTGCCCAACTTAGCCGAACTTATTGGATTGTGTTTGGGCTAACCCAGCCAAAATTGCAGCCATACTATCGCTTTGACCAATGCAAACCCAGTTCCCCTATTCGAGTTCATTCTGTTGGTGCGATGCAATTATAAGATATTTTGAGGTTCTCTGGAAATATACAGGATAATGATTTTTGGTAGTGCTAAGAAACCCAACATGGACTTTATGTGAAAATGATAAATTTTGTGATGATAAAGAGATTATAAATTTTATCATGGAATTGGATAGTTCATATCATATCAAGAGGATGTTGGCTGGGATCAACAGGGGCACAGAAGTCAAACACTGTACATCAAGGATCACTGCCTACCATCTTTGGTTGTTGCATCTCAAGGCCCCTGATTAATAGCCAAAAAAATTGTTTGAGTGGTTCTTTTCTAAGCATTCTTCAAGTTTGGAAGTTAGGTTTCTTTTGTGAGATGTTTCCCTCAAGTGGAGGTTTTAGCAAGTCTAATTTAGTATCTGCTGTTGTTGGTCTTGATCCATGTTTTGGTTTACTAATTGTACATTGTCAAATTTCCTAATCAATCTTATCAACTGTTTCAGGTTTCCAGATTGATTTATGCTAATTCAGGAATTGCTATATTGGCATTAGCATCTAATGCTGTGCACAAGCTTTGGAAATGGCAACGAAATGACCGAAACATAACGGTGAAGGTATTAACTTGATTAAAGGTTCTCACTTTCCATTTATTCCACCCAAGGTTCAAAGTATTGATACACCCCGATACACCAGAAGAGTTGTATCACTACTTTGTACCTAACGCAAGATTTTTGCATTTTTTTTTTTTTCAAAAATAGGTCTTAGGCTGTCTACCCTGAAATTGGTCAGAAGGCCAAAATGCCTATATTTTGTGTATTGGACACCAACTGATATGATACAATGCGCCGATATGGGGCATATCATGTCAAATTTTTTTTAACCTTGATTTTGTCATTTTTGATGAGCCAGAGTTGAATTAAGTTCTTTCCCTACTGTAGGCAACTGCTAGTATACCACCACAACTATGGCAACCTTCAAGTGGAATACTAATGACAAATGAGATAAGCGATACAAACCCTGAAGATGCTGTTCCATGTTTTGCACTGTCAAAGAATGATTCTTATGTTATGTCAGCATCGGGTGGGAAAATATCTTTGTTCAATATGATGACATTCAAGGTAAACAGTCTAATATATACATGTACCTTTCTTTGGGTCCAAATTTCCAATACATAAAATTGCAATTGATGTATTACACTTGTTTAAAACTGCAGACAATGACAACGTTCATGCCTCCACCACCGGCAGCTACATTTCTTGCCTTTCATCCACAGGACAATAACATCATTGCAATAGGCATGGAAGATTCCTCAATTCAAATCTACAATGTCCGAGTTGATGAGGTTCAGATTTTCTTGAACTGAAACCTATATTTTGTTAATTATGTAAGAAATTTGAGGAACCCGAGATAATTGTCACTTTGAATGTTTCTAACAGGTTAAAAGCAAGCTGAAAGGGCATCAGAAGAGAATAACAGGGCTTGCTTTCTCTAATGTTCTAAATGTACTTGTATCTTCAGGAGCAGATGCTCAGGTTAGTGATAATTGCAGTACTGTAACTTGACAAAAGATTGGAAATTCTTATATGGAAATTTTTTGTTAATGTCTCTTCTATTTTCTTCTGTTCCAGCTCTGCATTTGGAGCACAGATAAATGGGAGAAGCAGGGTAGTAAGTTCTTGCAAATTGCAGCAGGAAAAGTGACATCTCCCCTTGTGGAGACACGTGTCCAATTTCACCAAGATCAGATTCACTTGCTGGCTGTTCATGAAACACAGATAGCAATGTATGATATTTCTAAACTAGAGTGCCTAAAGCAGGTAAACTGGATATGCACTTATTTTCTCAGAAGTTAAAATGTAATTTGCTTTTTTACCAGAAAATTATTGCATGAAGTTGTCTCATCATGCATAGCTGGTTGTAAGTTTACAAACATTAGATCAGGTTGATTTAATGAATAATATTAACTGAGGTGGAGCCATTTCATGCTTGGTTCAGCCCATATCATTGTATGAATTGCACGGTTATTCTTTAATAGCCATTATGATCTTATTCATTAAGTTTTGCTTTTCATCAGTGGGTTGCCCGAGAACCAAATGGTCAAATTACACATGCTACATATTCAAGTGATAGCCAATCTATTTATACAAGCTTTGAAGATGGAAGTGTGGGTGTTTTCACTGCTACAACACTCAGATTGAGGTGCCGGATCAATCCCACCGCCTATCTGCCTTCAAATCCAAGGTAATTTACCTGTGTTACTGTCTGACTAGCTAACCCTATCTGCTTCTTCTAGCCTTCTCTCAACTTAACCATATTTGGATATTACTTGATACAGTGTGAGGGTGTACCCACTTGTTATCGCTGCCCATCCATCTGAACCCAATCAGTTTGCAGTGGGACTGACCGACGGTGGGGTGTATGTACTAGAGCCACTAGAATCTGAAGGGAAATGGGGTACTTCGCCACCTCCAGAGAATGGTTCAGGGCCCAGCATCACCTCTGGTATAGCTGGTTCAGATCAACCATCCAGGTGACAATGAAAGTTGATCTCATCGACTAATGACTGTTTGCATCTCATCCACGTGGGACCCCAATTTATTTTACGGGGAAGCTGCGCAAGTCAGAGACATTCGTAGCATACAACATACAAGATACGTTATGCCCAGGCAGCAGGAAGCTAAGGCAACATCCTCTTTGCTCTCTGGCTAGGTTTGGGTAGTCTCTGCATATGTTGTGATCAAGTGGGAAGGTGCTATGGTTGGTGGATCATGTAAAAATGTACGAGCAAATTGACTTCTCATTTTTTTTTTCTTCTTTGGGTGGTTGAGGGGATGTCGAAGTTTCATGCGAAGTACAAATCAAGGGGTTGGACTGGAAGTAGAAGTTCTTCTGATGTACTGATTATTGGTATTGCTATTCTTTCTAAATTCAAGCATATACACCACTTCTTATATCCCTTTTTTTCATATTCTTCACCTTGGTTCAGTTTCTTCACTTGCCCTACATCTATGGAACTGGACCAGAAATTAGGCATCAAGAGGATCCTATTCAATTTGGTCCCATTTCCAGACACTCATTGGATCACAATGTTCATTTTACGTTATGTTACTGCATTGTTTTTTGACTTTTTTGGGTGAATACTGAACGTGGATTGAAAGAGTCTTGATGTTATAGAGAGAAAACTCGGTTATCAGATCCTTCTTCATCCATGGCGCAGTCTAAACCTATCTAACCCAGAGATGCCACTTGCCATAGCTCATTCTGCAGATGGGACCAGGGAACCGAAATTACATTCCTCCAAACCAAATTAGGGGAGGCATCAGCCATCAATCAGGTATGTGTGTCATCATTCATGACGTAAGAGGAAGTTATATTCTCCAGTCTCTCCACCCACAATATCACCAGAATTCCGGTGGGCTTCCTTGGATAAGTTCGTTTCCAACTTCTCGTAGATTAAAAAAAAAAATCTTCTCTAACCCTAAGAATCGGATAAGGTCCAAATTTCAAGTGGGCCCCCTAGCCCCAAAAGCCAACCTTGCTCCCATGTTACACTGGACACATGGAAAATATAAATATCTTCCCTAATCTCCATGAGCCCAGTCCGGATCTGCCGGAAACAATCGCTCCTATACCAAATCACAGATAAACACGTCAGTCCATGCAGACTTTCAGCAACTAACGTGTTTATTTGTGATTTGGAGCACCAGCAACTTTTTGTTCCTCTCGTGCTGGCCCACTGGTCCGGTGGAAATCGGACGGCTACTGTTCGTAGTCCATCGCACTGGCAAGGTTATACGTGTCACAGTTTCATTCCTATCTTGTTCTTATCGTGAGGTGGCAGAGCATGCGATTGCGTCAGCAATTGCACGTACACGCGGCAATAATAGAAGACATTCTCCGCTCTCCAGTTTCCACTAGCCAAACCAGAGTCAGTACTGGTATCAGCAGAAGCGATGATGCAAGCGATGGAGTTGAAGCACAACAACACTCACATCGAGCAATGTCTCGAAGGTCGTCAATGGTGGAGAGAGAAGAAGGTGAAGGATATGATGGTGCAGAAGAGGAAGCTGGTGGAGGTTCCTTACATGGCTACGCTGACCCACACGATCAACGCCTTGGTGACCAACCGTGTGGTGGCCGTGCCCGTGGCTGCTCCGCCTGGCCACTGGATCGGCGCCGGTGGGTCCATGATCCTGGAGTCCGACAAGCTCACCGGCGCTCCACGGAAGCACTACATCGGTATGGTCAACATGCTTGACGTCCTGACCCACATAGCCGAAAACGGCGATTGCGGCGACCTGGACAAGCGGATGTCTGTTCCCGTCTCATCCATCATCGGCCATTGCCTTGAAGGTCTCAGTTTGTGGACTCTCAACCCCAATACCAGGCAAGTTCTCTCTCACTTACTCAACATCACAGTCTATTACCAGATAGCTAGAGAGAGAGAGAGAGAGAGAGAGAGCTACACGCCTATGTCTGACTTCTGCAACCAAAACCCACCTTCCAGAGAATGGATCTAGCTTTGGACGCCAAATCCATGCTCTAGCTTTGTTCCCAGAAGTCCAGACTCCATACCTTATTCCTGTTTTTTGGATGGCTGAAAGAAGCTAATATTGTCCATCCAAGTAGAATTGTTATGAAAACGTCATAATTACTTGGTCGTCCATCTACAGAGCAGCTATCGAAGAGAAGCACAGATTGCTCTGTTCGTTTTCTGTCCTTGTTCCGCGAATAAAATGTTGGATGACTGTCTGATCTTGTTAATTCTTCCTTCTTCCTGGAATTGCAGCATTCTAGATTGCATGGAAGTGTTGAGCAAGGGTATCCACCGTGCTTTGGTTCCAGTGGACGGCTATACGCAGCGCCTCTCTGGAGCAGAACTGACGGAATCCGCGTCTAGTTATCAGATGCTTACTCAAATGGATGTGTTAAATTTCTTGAGGTTGCACGGATCTGAAATGGGCCGAATCGTTTCGCGCAGTGTAGGGGAATTGGGCGCCATTGCTGAAAATGTTTTTGGTGTAACTAATCGGGCAAAAGTTATAGATACTATCAAATGCATGAGGACTGCCTCCCTTAATGCTGTTCCCATCATCGAAGCTTCAGAAGCTGTGGAGGAAGATCACACGCAGCTTATCTATGTATGTCTTCTCAGCTTCTTCTAATGATCTTGTCCTGCATCGCATTGTAGCCGGATTTTATTCTTTAGACTGATGCACCGAAGACTACATTATCTGCATTAGTAACAGAAAGTTGCATGTATGTTGTTGTTGAGTTCTTTGTTTTTCAGTGGTATGCATCAACTGGAGTAGTACTGTCAGATTCCCAAAATGCCAATATAAGGAAAGATTGCTCTAGTGCAGTCTTCTGATCAGTAGAGCAGATGAATTTGACAATTGGGTTATTTTGGGGATTCTCTGGTTTGCATAGTTTTCTGATTTATTACCTCATATGGGTGATAACCCACTAGCTCAAGGGCTTAGAGGGCTTATAGATTAATTGGATGATTCAATTCTAGTTGAATTTTAATGAGGGAAAGCATTGATTGATTCAAACTCAATAGCCTATTAAGATCATATGATATAATTCCAGAATTAAGTTCTGCTTCTTGTTGTCCTGCAGCATTTAGCATTGACTTTCTATTTGCCAATACTGTAGGGAAAAGGGAGGAAGCTCATAGGCACATTCTCTGCAACTGATCTGAGGGGATGCCCAATTGCTTCATTGCAGTCCTGCTTGTCTGTTGGCGTTCTAGAGTTCATTGAGAAAGCCTCAACAGCACCCAATGGTGTTGCAGATGATCTAAGCCATTCAGCAAGAGAGCTTGTGAGCTGCTACCCCGATACAAGCCTTGCTGAAGTAATTGACAAGGCTGTGGTTGCTCATGTTCACCGAGTTTGGGTTGTGGACCAACAGGGTTTGCTTGTGGGACTTGTATCACTCACGGACATGCTTCGAGTGATAAGGTCATCACTCTTGTCAGAGTTTGGAACAAAATGAGTAGCTGTAATTAATGCTGATGGGTTTTGCTATGGCAGGTGATGCTTGAGTTAATATCTCTGATCTTGATGTGTTTTGGCTGCCTGTGTTGATGTTCCAAACCTTCTTTGTACCAGTTAACATGTAAATAGACCCTTCTGAATTTTCTACCATTTCATGCTTTTCTGGAAAACCTGTGACTCAGGAATGTGAAGCACTGCAATTTTCAGGGGCACAATTGGGTACATCATTGCAATATTTAGACAGGCTTTTGAAGCTCCTGCACATGCCGACATTATAGATCATTCTAAAAAATCGTTATTTGAAGAATGAGTTCCCAGCCAAAACTGTTTCTTTTTTGAAACCAAAAATCAATTCTTAGAGTGAGTTTTGAGTGCAGAAAAAAGAATCAATTCCAACAATTAACATGAACTGAAACTCGTAAGTGATTCTTTGAAATCTGTACCAAATGCAGTCTAATCATCATCATTATCGTCCAAGCCTTTTCCCAACTGTATTGGGTCGTCTACATCAATCCTGTTTTTCCATTCCATTCTCTAAATTAGGATCATATATGAGAGTTTATCTAAATGCAGCCTAATGTGGGCCAGTTGCCAATTTGATGCAATCCTCTTCTTTATCTACGATGCAAATGGATACCACCACCCTCCTTTAATTATATCTGATTAGCCGGATTTGATTAGCCATAGCTCTGTAAAATTTAACAAATTATTAATAAGAAAAAAAGAAATAAAACAGCCTATACAAAGAAAAACTAAAAAATACAAATATTTTTTCAACCATTTATATAATTCGAATTATATAAATGGTTAATCCAATAATCCTAGTAAGAGCTGTGTAACCAAGAAAATTTCCTGAATCCCTCCTGATTGTTGTTGTTATAAGTTATAACTTATAAACCCAAATTTCAAATGGAAAGTCTTAATTATGAATTTGGTCACTGAGATCATCATCCATATGCTAGGGCTGTATCCCCTGACCCCTGTCTGGGGTTCCTCTTTTTTAACTAGTAACTACTGGAACCATCATGCGTGGGTATTATGTGAAAATCAGTTCTACTTACTACATTACAGAACAATTATCAAGTATCAGGACAGAACAATGAAAAAGCGTCTAGCAATCCTTTGGCTTTTAAGGATCATTCCAACTTTCAACCTTGCAAAGATTTTAATAGAACAAGACGACCAGAATAGATGATTTGTATTTGTACCAGGAAGATAAATCACTTCAGTTTCTCCACGAAGAAGATAAAAAACAACCCTGTGTCGGCTTGACTTGAGGCTTTTTTTTTTTTTTTGTCATAAAAAAAAAGTTTCTCTGTGAACGGTGGTAAAAGACGATCACGGTGGGACTCGAACCCACAATCTCCCGCTCCGGAGGCGAGCGCCTTATCCATTAGGCCACGCGATCATGACATCAAGTGATCTCTATTAATTCATTATTATGATGATAAAATCTGCATTCTCCGCGCAAATAGACCTGAAAAAGCCTCTAATAAATTAAGAATTTTAAAATAAGTCCAGATCTCGCACACTTATTACTTTAACACTTAAATGTTTGATAATGGTCAACGTGGCTTAATAGAATGCGATAAGTTTCATCTTTTTGCAATAATTTAATACCCGAATTATCGAAAATAAGAGAAAATTTCTCATAGTTTAAGTAGAGTATCAATTTAGTATCCGAATTTTCATTTTGCGACAATTCAATACCTGGCGTTAACTCATCGTTGTGTTATAGGAATAGACACAAATGCCCCTTAATTTTCGTCATTCGAAGCGCTTCTATCCCTCCTCTTGAGAATGCTCGCCTACACACAGAAACCACGATTGTTTAACGCCCCGACCAGCAAGTCTCTCCGGCACCATCTGGAATGGATCAAACCGCTGCTGAAATCTGCACTCCCTGGATCAACCACATCAAGTACTGAACAACTATTAGGTACCTCTTGAAAATCAGGTACTGCACTCCCTGAACCAACCACTATCTGACGATGAACTGTTCATCGCCACTGTTCATCGTCTCCTTCGTTGAACAGCGGCGGCACTCCTTCTCTTCTCCTTTACGGGATCCCGAAACCACCAGCCACCCTGACCTAATTCATGATGAGCCCAACCAGGATCAAACCGCTGCTGAAATCTGCATTCCCTGGATCAACCACATCAGGTACTGAACAGCTATTAGGTACCTGCTGAAATCAGGTACTGCACTCCCTGAATCAACCACTATCTGACGATGAACTGTTCATCGTCTCCTTCGTTGAACAGTGGCGGCACTCCTCTTCTCCTCTACGGGATCCCGAAACCACCAGCCACCCTGACAAGATGGTGCGGATGGATCAAACCACTACTGAAATGAAAGATACCACTACTTCGCCTCATTGTTGGACCGCCGGCGCGAACACTGTGGTCTCTGACCAAGATCAGCAGCGGTTTCAGTTCATGCCTAGAAAATCATGGAAAAGTAAAGCTGGTTTTTCTTCTTTAAAGTTATTGTCGTTGTTGTTCTTGCTGCAATTACTGTTATTATGAGCCATCATCAGTACAGCCATTTCATCGGTAAATCATTCTATGGAACTCATAGCGAAGTCCCCCCACTCCCTCGAAATAATAATTTAAATAATCATCCTCACAAAACAAATTAAAAGGAAAGGAGAAAAGGGAGGTCGAATTTTCAGAAAAGATAAAGTATAGAGAGAGATAGATGTGAAGAGAGGGAGAGGGAGAGGGAGAGGGTGAGGGAGAGGAGCATTAAAAAGCAGAAGTTGGGTTTCTTCACTCTCTGTGTTTCATTTAATGGGTTCCGTGTTCTGTTTTGTTCTGTTCTGCTCTGCCTCTGTGCTCGTGTTTTATGGCATTTTTGTGTTGTTGCAGAGAGAATACGAGATGGTGCAGGATTTGATCCGACGGGATCCGATGCATGGAAGATGCCACTACTTCCAGCATTAAAAAGCAAAAGTTCTGCTCTACTCTGCCTCTATACTCGCCTACACGGGATTCGTCTTATCCAGCAGAGCGAAGCAGCCAGCGGCAGTTTGGGTTCTCTTTCATTGATGATGAACAGTGTATTTTATTTTTAAGGATAATTTTAATAGTTTCAAAAGTTCTAAATGCATGAGGTCACGATTAGATTGTTACAAAATGAAAGCTTGATACTAGATTGTCCTATTTTAAAATTGGGGTACTAAATTGATAGTCGACCTAAAATATAGGTTAACTATGGGGAATTTTTTCATAAAATAATTGTAAAATCAAATATTGAAGAGTATAACTTCCATTAAGCAGCCCACAGCCTCATGGATAACTTATTCGCAATAAGCCATTCGGTTCTACTTTAGCTGTTGTAAAAAATATTTCCAAAGATTCTCTTTCAATAGAAGCTTGTGCCCATTAGGTCTTCTTCATATTCAATCTATCACCAACTACTTCTAAAATACATCCATCAGCCTTTCTATTGAGTATACCATTGTTGTTTAGAAGAGCTTCACCAAAGTTAAAAATGGTTTTCTTCTTTAATTTTTCTTAGTTTTTGTATTTTTACATATCAAAATATATTTTTCCTTCTCTTATTTTTATTTCTCATCTTTATTATATTTAACCAAATCATTATCCATTTGGATTCTTTTTTTTCTTTTTTGGTAGAAATCCATGTGGGTTCTAGACAACGTGATTCTGAAAGGTTAAGTTTCATCCGTAATAAAGAATACAAAAAAAAAAATATTTTTCACTTATTTTGTTAATCAAGTGACACAAAATGAGATGTGTTAGATTTAAACTGCATTTGGCATTTCTTATTTTAAAGACTTACCTCCTTTTTACAGTTAAAATGCTCTTATAAACACTGAATTTTTAACAGTAAATAAGAGATGAGTCCTTAAGATACCAAATGCAACCTTAGTACTTAGGGAGCATAACTTTTAAGATGCAAAAAATCACGGCAAAAAGCATTGAATCAGGAGATGGAGATGTTTCTGGCAATAGGACTACTTGCAAGCAAAAACTTTATAAATGAAATAAAATCTAATTGAACATTCCATGACATCTCCCTATAGATTTAACATGTAGGTACAAGAGATATTCTCAATCTATAGCTAGATGCTATGGCAGAGTTTTACTTGGAGAGATAAAAGGCTCATGTTCCCGCAGTGTGTGAATGCAGTGGCTCGTTGGAAGCGTTTATTATTGGGCACAGATCCGGTTTCTCTTTAATTGGCATAGAAAATAATTTTTTTTTTGGTATTTGTTGGCATAGAAAATTAAAATCATACCTTTCAATTTTTTTTTCCTAAAACATTAGTATTCAGATTTAATGGTCCTTAGAATTTTAGTATTTATGATCGATCGTCTTGATCGATCATGCACATCCTTAATCATTCCGTCACATATCTTAGAATCCGTCTTTCCCATATTCGTATCTGAACATACTGGGTTATGATTCTAACTTTCAACAGATTCTGAGTTTCATCAAGTTTTTGCCTACGAATCACCAGTTATTAAAAATTTTCTTCAGAGTCTGAACATACAGGTTTTTTGATGGGCAAGGTAAATTTCAAGTTCTCAACATACATTGTATTGCGTGAAAAATATTCAAGTTTACAAGACTATATTCCTTTCACTTTATCTTCTTGGAGACTGACGCAGCCAAACAAAAATCTTGATTGCATGGAGCTGTATATTATTTACAAAAAGAAAAAATAATGTGACACTACTCATTGAAAACCTCACTTCCGCCTTCTGTTTGTCCTTGAATTCTTATTCTTCTTGGTATTGCTTGTGCTTGATGTTGATGGTGATGGTGATGATTGCTGTCGTACAGGCAATAGAGTTCCACCTTTGATATCATCTGAATCTGGCAAGTTAGCAACGGTTTTCTGTGCTTCAATGTAGACACTGAGATCTCTGATCTGTATTTAACCCATATGTGGAGCTAATAATAAGTAAATCACAGCTTTAACTAGCTTAAACACAACCAAATTCATAACTGATTGCAAAAACCTGTTCTTCCAAATCTTTCATCTTCACAGCCATCGACAACATTGTTGACCTTTCCCTGAAACAGAAATAAATAAATAGTCAGCCAGATAATAGTAAATCAAATTAAACTGCATATGGGCAACAGTCCAACCGCACCCATCCTCTTATTAGGGGGTGTTTTTTTTGGTACTTAACGCAATACACTAACTTTTCAATGTAGGTGATAATAGCAGGATTCGAGTCTACGTCTCTGCCACTTAACATTAGGAATGGCAATGGGATGGGTTCGGGGCAGGAATTACATTCCCCATCCCCGACCCCGACCCCCAAATCATCCCCCATCTCTGTCCCCGACCCGTCAGGTAAAGGAATTCTCCTCCATCCCTGACCCCGATGGATTAATTCCCCGTCGAAGACCCAAATCCCCAAGACTGAGGGAAAGATAGAGAGAAAGTTGAGAGAAAGAGGACTGAGAGTCTGAGACTGAGAGAGAGAGAGAGGGGAGGATCGTTGCGAGTTGCGGTCGGTGACGATAGACGTCCAACGGGCAACAACGATAGACAAAGAAAGATTGAAGAACTAGGTTTTAGTTTTCAGTTCTTTCTTCTTTGAGTCTTTCTGTCCTCTGTTGAGTTATAATCGGCGATGATAAACGTCCGATGTCTGACGGGCAATGGCAACGCCAATCGACAACAATAAATGAAGGAAGAATGAAGAGCTAGAGTTTTTACTTTTTTAAAATGAATAGTTTTTGTCTTTTAAGTTTTTATCTCTTACAAATAAATGAATAATATATAATATTATAATATTATAATATATATATATATATATATATATATATATATATATATATAAAAGATTGGGGGGGAGGGATTGCATTCCCCATCCCTGTCCCCGAACCCAATCAGGGATTTAGGGATGCCCCATCCCCGACCCTGACCCTGCTAAAATACTCCCCATATCCGACCCTATTAGATCAAGGAGCCCGGGTACCCGTCGGGGATGGGGAAAATTGCCACCCCTACCTAACATGCCAACCGAACCACCACTTGGTTATTAGGGGGGGCCAGCATATATGATTTTGTTTTTTAAAACAAAAAAAATACACAACTGCCACATCAGCAAAAATATATTGTTTTTTCTGATGTGAAAGTTGTTTTTTTGCTTTGAAAAGCAAAACCAATCATTTTAACGAGCACCCTTAAGTTGGTTGGCCACTTAGATAGGTGTGGTAGTGATATCACCCCTAAGTTGGATCGCTATAGTTGACTACATACGATATCATCCATCAACAGTGGAGTGTGGATATTTGGGATGTATCATGGCAACTGTGGATGCTGCTTGACAAATAAGTCAGAAAACTGTGACCTCGGAAATTTTGAATCATGGTACATGTGTTTCTATCACTCCAGTTCTGCTGATTGCCTGCTAGCAGGATCCTTTGTTGTATACCCACCAGGAACACACCACCTTCAGTACAGACTGGAGGGTGAACACAATAAATGGCCCGTATTTACATGCTTGAAGGTACATTCCTTCTGGATCCTGATAATAGATACCAGCAGATCCCAATGCTGGATCCCAAAGCAGATAACGGGGTACCAAAAATGTTTGACAGTGTCAAGTTTCAACTTTATTCTTGGTTTTCCCTCCCTCCCAACTCTATTCTTTCTTTCCACCTTGAACATAGCAGTCAAAAACATCCTAGACTTTGGGGGATATCAAGCAAGACCTTTCGTTAGGGAAGAGAAATCAATTGACACTCATTCCAAGGAAACTGACAAAAATAAAAATTCAAATTTCCAGATTTAGATCAAATCTATTCTTCCCTCTAAACATGGTTTTCGAACTGCTGTTGATCCGGACGATCGGACCAGAAACCATCCAGGCAACTGATTCCGTTTTACCCCAAACCCGATCTTTAATAAAAAACCGTTGAATCGATCAACAACCCATTGACACAGGCAGTCAAACCATTGACCCATTCAACGGTTTCTGACCGTTTTTAAATTTTAATTATTATTTTATGTTTTAATTTATTTTGTCAAAAAGGGTCATCCATTCAGACCGGACAGTCAAACCATCAATCCAGAAACTGATGGCCAGAACGGTTCCGATTCCGAGTTATTTTTTAAAGCATTGCTCTAAAGCAAAATAAAAAAATAAAAGTATATATATATATATATATTTATATATATTAAATTTTTTATAAATGATTCATATTACTTCATTAACTGTTCACTGTTCCATTGAAACCCAATTAACAATTAACACTAAATAAAATCTGACTTTACAAAAAAGAGTACAACCCGTATAAAAATCCTAAGACTGTATTCCCCATAATGGCCCGGCCCAACTAATAACACGCTACAGTTTTTTTTATAAATGCTAATATATATAATTAGACGGCCTATGTCAACATGTCTCTCCTTTGAGAGAAGCTATTTATCTATTTTCTTCATTTTTTTGCATTTTTTCTATTTTCTTTTGTTTTAAAAATATAAAAAGTAATCATTATCATTAATACAGTATATTATTAAAGAGAGAGAGAGAAATATTATATTAGAGAGAGAATTAACAGTGTATCAATGTGTGTGTGAGAGAGAGAGAAATATCGTAATTGGAACATTTGGGTATTTTAGGCCCCCCTAGAGAATGGAATTCCCATTCAAGAGTTTTAAAGAGATTCATGACAAAAGTGTTAATAAAATATTAATAAACTATTAAAGAAATATTAGTAAAATAGTAATAAAATAATAGTACTATAATAAAATATTAATAAATAAATACAATAATGTATAAATGTTTTATTTATACAATGTAAAGTAATAATATTATTAATAATATAATAATATTTAAGTAATAATGTTAATATTGATATAATATAATTAAAGTAATAATAGTATAAATTAACGGAATATTAATAAACTAATAAGAAAATAAAACATAATAATATAATAAAGTATTAATAAAATCCAATTCCGGTTCCCAACTAAACCAAATAGGCGTTAGGAATAGGTGATTCTAAGGGGGTTTTCCTTTTTCGGATTTTTAGAGGGGGAAAAGTTGGTCAATGGGATTTTGGTTCCCATTGACCAAGAATCCCATGTTCTTTTTTCAGATTTATGTGGGAACCAGGGAAAGTTTATTTTCTTGGGTATCACTTACCCGGGTAGGTGACACCCATCTCCTAGGTGGGTAAATAACTTTCCCACCTAGGGGGAAAGTTGCCAACACTTGAATGGGACAAAAATGCCCTTTTCAATAATGGATTTTTATGGCTAAAATGGTCATTGCCTTATTTACATGAGAAATAAAAGAACATGGGTAAATGCACTTACTCGGGTAAGTGTTTCCCAGGAAAAACTTACCTAGGTAACTGCATTTACCCGAGTAAGTAACTTTCCGAAAAGCAAACGGGGCCTAATTCCGATTCTAATTCCGATTCCAATCCTGTTTTTCAAACATTATAATAGTTAATAAAAGTTAAGAAATTTGGTTTACTTCAAATGTTAATTAAAAATGTTTCAATTTCACTTAAAATCAAACTTAATAAATACTAATTAAGAAATTTGTTATTTTATGTTTTACTGTTTAACCTCAACCTATTAAAGATTGGATCCAATTTGGATATCCAACTTTCCTTAATGTATTCAAATTTGAATCACCATATGTGAGATCTAACCGGATCTTTGGGTTGGATCAGGTTTGGATATGGCTATCCTTTCTCACTACCATTTATCTATTTGGTTTCTTTAAAATTCTAAATAAAAGCGTTTCAATTTCACTTAAAAATCAAACTTAATGAACATTAACAAAAATAAGAAATTTGTTAGTTTACGTTTTACTAGCAAGGACCCTTGTGATGCACGGAATTTGTCATTGATAATGGAAACTGATAACTATTATAAGGAATGCTATGTTGTTTAAAATAATTAATCTTTATTTTATTAATGCTATGCTTTAATAATTTAGTAATTTCTATTAATTATATTAATAATTTTTAAATAAAAGTAATAATTTATTGCCGATGATTAAATGTTTCAATTTTTTACTTTATTAATAAATTATTGTTCTATTTTATTAGTGATTAAATGTTTTAATCTTTTGTAAATGTTACTTAAATATTTAAAATACTTAAATATAAACAAATATATAAAGTTAAGTTATAGCCATAATTAAATTAATCTAAGCCTGAGCTCAAGGTTTAAGACTTCGGGTTAGGTTTCAAATTATAGTTTTCTAACAATTAACCAATTAATAAGATTTGAATATTAATAGGGATGGCAATGTCCCCCATCCTTTTGGGTACTCAACATCGGGTCAGGGATGGAGATTGCCTTGGCAAGGACAACAATTGATAGTGATACCCAACCGAGGATAGAGACGAAGATGGGAAAGTGAATTCCTCGCCTTGCCCTAACTCTGATTATATATAGTATTATTTATGATATTTTTTTATATCAAAATATATTTAAAACATTTTTATATTTTAAAAAAAAATCCCTTATTTTGAGTAAATATATTTTATGAAAATAATTTTAATTTAAAAATTCCGGGGATTCAGGTTCCCAACAAAGAACCCGTCTCCGCTAGGAATCGGGGATGGAGGGTCATATTTTATCCTTGGTAGGGATCGGGGTCAAGGACGAGGATTTGTTTCAAAGTTGGGATCGAGGATGAGGAGTATGGTCCCCACCCCGTTGCCATAGTTTTATATTAACATAGGCAAGTTTGGCCCTATCCCAAGCCCATACAAATATTATTATGCTTAGGGTATGGCAGGGCTAAGCTACGCAGCCAATAAAATTGTTATACACTATCAAAACCTGGCTTGAGATCTTTTATGCTTTTGGTTCATTATGCTACATAATGGGGGTAGCTCAACCCCCATAGCTCCTTCGGGTTCAATATTAATAATTTTTATATAAAAATAGTTAAAAACCCAAAAATAGTGCATGCATGGGCTGTGCTTAGATTTGATTCAATCTAATTACAAATTTCACATTGCTCTTGGGGGTGCAACTTAAGGGATTGGGTCAGGTTGAGGATCAACCAAAGCCTAACCTAAAGTCTTAAACCTTGAGCTTGGGCTTAGATTAATTTAATTATTAATGAAGTAAAATAAATAAAATAGAATACTAACGGATAATATGAAAAAATAATTATTTATTAAGTAATTTATTATTTTGTTAAACATTATTAATATAATTAATATAAATTACTAAATTATTTTTTGTAACAAATTACTAAAATAAAGATACTAATAAAATTATTAAATTATCAATTTCCATTATTTCACTTTTCCTTAATAAATCCCGTGCATCGCACGGGTCCCCGCTAGTAACATAGTAAGTTCAACACTATATATCAAGTAAACCCAACCACCACCAATTGGGTGAAGTTTACAAGCAACATCAGCAACCCAAGGGTTCTCTAAGTTTGTGTTTGGCATTTGTTACCCGGAACTACCTAAACCAAAACTAATTGCCACTGACTGAGCTCATAAATAACACCAGCAACCCACTCTAGTTCCAGAAAATTTGTATTTGACATTTGTTATCTGGCCCTGCTTGACCAAACAAAGCCTAACCCATGGAAATCCTTCTACTAAGCTCAAGTTCTAGCAAACTACTGCCCTGTTCAGCAATTACTCCAAAATAATGTGACCTTTGTTCTGCTTTGTTTTATTATATTTCCTTCTTTTCTTTTGGAGGATAGACAATTACAGAGTTTTCTTTCCAAAATGATGATGCATGTCCTCCATATGTGGAAATGGAACCCATGTAACAGATGAAGATGTTTTCTTGGTTGACCATGGACTTGAAAAATGAGTGGCTCGAGATAATTATTGGTTACTTTTGTGAACCTGATGTTAATACTTTGTAGTCCAATACAATTAAATTCACTTTTATTATATTAATAAATTGCAATAACCTAAGAGTTTAGTAATTCTTGAATTTTCGCATTTTAGAAGAGATGCATCTTATCCTATAAGGCCATTACCAATGGCTGGTCCCAACAATCAAATGTCATGGGAAAACGCACCGGGTAAAGTCCTAACCTTTGGCTCTGTTTTTTGGCATGTTGTCACCTTTAGACTCAAGCTAACATTCAAAGACTTTCGCCCAAGATTTTATCATTGCATCAAGCAATAGCCCCTGGATGCAGCTCACAAGATTATTTTTGGGTAATTACATGGCCATGAACCTTCTATGTGTTCACAAAAAAGGCTCATATAGGCAGAATTGTTTCTCATGTTTTCAATTGTTTTCCCAATGAAAAGAACATTAATTGTACCATGCATAGAATCCAGAGGTTAAAGGAGAAAACAAAAGAAAATGAAAAAGGAAAGAAAAAAACTATACCTGTCTTCAGTTTCCTCAACTTGTTGTCGTAAGAGTTCTTGATTCTTAAGAAGATTCTCATGCATCTAACATGGAAACAGATAAGAGGAAAGATCAAGTGAGGGCATTTGAAATGCAATGGAGATCTATAGGTACAGGAAAAAGTATATCATCCAACTGAAAAGAACAAATATAGGGAGGAAAGAAGGGAGGCAGAGAGATTACTTCACTAACAGCTTTCTTTTCTTCGACACATTTGTCAAGTTTAAACTGAATATCCTGCAAATTCAAAGTTATAGCCTTTTCCACTGCTTCAGAAATGGCCTTCTCCTTTTTTCCCTTAGCCTCCACAAGTAAAGTTTCGTAATACTGGAAAGTTAAACAACATGGCAATATGTCAACTCTTCCAAGGTGCCTCATGCTTAAGTTATCACTATCACAAAGAAAGAAACCCAAGATACCAGAGTGTACCACAATGACTGTTAAGTGGTATGAGTATCATCCAAGTGCACCTGGCAGAGTGCACAGGATGGTAAGAGGGACAAATGAACAATCAGGCCCCATTCATGTGTTGCTGAAGCCTTTTTTTCTTGGTGATGATGGTTGGGGTTTGGTTAAGAACTAAGAACTTCAGCCAAAATTGAGAAAACTGAATAATTCTAACTTGATGCAATCAATACTCAGGATAATCTACTGCAGTTGTTTACTAGCCTAGTAGATCATCAGGGTAATAATGTCCAATGGAGCACTGGACCCAATGGCATTTTAAACTTCACTTCTTACTGTAAATGCAATAATTGTAACCAGAATTCCATAACTCTACAGTATCTCTTGTATATATAAGAGTTTTGGCATGACCAACTAAATTCAATAGGGAAACACACAAATAGATTAAAAGGATCTAACATGCAATTGTACTTACTTGTCTTTGATTCTCAAGCTGGGTTGCAAGCAAACGATTGTATTCATCAAAGATCTGTTATCAAGTGCATAAATCAATAGCAAATACAAGCATAGCCATGAATTAATAATCATGCACGTCCATTGAGCAACAAGGTCAAAACATCAAACTATTCCAAGGTTATTCATATACCTATCTCAGACATCTCAGAATGTTGAAACAAAATAGGAAAAAAAAATAGACACCTCAGAATGCAAATGATGCATTATAATATGATCCCAGGAGGACCCTCCAAACCACACTTTAGACATCCAATGTCCATTCATCCAAGTCAAACCCAATGAAGTCAAATCAAATAAACTCTGCAACATCGATCATGTAAAGGTTTTGAATCCAAACAAGTGGGATCTACAATACTAAATTAGTAATGATATTTTAAGAGAAATAACGAGTCAACATCTACAATTAGAAAAAGGATTAATTGATGGAATAGATTATTACTGCTTCAACTTTACTATCTTCACTAATTCCAGGATCCTCACTGCATTCATAAGTCCCACAATCACCATCCATTGCTCCTCTACAGCGTGCATTCAATTCTACCAACTTGCTATCAGTTTTTGACTGATTTAGTCGGTGAACATAACTATCGCCTACATAATCCCAAACACGCTGTGTTTCCAAATCAAGAGAATAACAATGCTGTGTATCTTTCCAATGCCTGATAGCATGACCTTCTTTATACCTAAATCAGCAATGCAATTTCAGTTATCAGATAGAAATTGGCAATAGGAAAAATATTCACAGAAAAATAATTAACCACGTAACCAATAGAAAAACATATGTTATATCAGTTTAGAGCCACATGGATGATCCTAAAGAAGTAAGAGAACTGCAAAGTATAATCTACCTTCCACATCCTACAAAACCACAGATCACACAAATCCAGAGGTTCCCTGATGTTCCACAAATAGAGCAAGTTGGTTTCTCAGCCTGCTGCTGACAAAATCGACAAACCTAAAAGAAGCATGATTAATAAATCATTGCTGCCAAACTACTGCTAATGTGGCTAGGAGAAATACAATCATTACAACACAAATTAGGTTTGGATACTTCCCATAAAGACCTGATAGAGTGCCAAAAACAATCCTATAGCTATTATAGTACACTACAAGATGCATCCTTGCATTCTCAAGATGGACATCACAGCATCAAATTGTTTCTGAGTGTTAGAATACACAAATCAGGGGTATTTTGGTCCTTTGGGTTTATCTATTTGAGAGTGAAAGGTCTATTTTATTTAAGTTTAAGTTATGTGTCCCATCACTTATGAGGGACAATATGGTCTTTCTTGTAACTATGTTATTAGAGATAAATACAAGTGGTCGGCTGGAGGTGGACTGATTTTTTTCCTAATCTGGCCAAACCCTTCTTCTCCTCCTTCTTCTTCTTCTCTTCTTTAACCTAGAATCGAATAGGGATTTTACAATGAGCAAAGCAAAAGAAAAAACCAGGGAGTTGTTTAGTTCCATTGTCATTTATTAAATAAATGTTTTGTACAACACCTTCCTTGAAAATGAGAAAAGGTGTTGAAAAACTCTTTTTTACCATTTTCTGACAGCTAGGCTCCATTAGAGACCATTAGGCACCACATAAGGTGAATAGTGAAAAAATGCCTAAGCGTAGGGGGAACATCAAAAAGGTGTTTCCCCCAACAGATATCTTTCACACAACCCAAAAAAGACATTTATTTGATAAACGGTTTAACTAAACAACACTTCAAACTCCATTGGGGAAAATGCCCATGGGGCACTGAGTTGGCACCGTTTTTCAGATAAACAAAAATGGAATCAAACACCATCTAGTACATGTTAATCCCTATTTTTGACAGTTACCATTTCATTAGGGATAAAACAGATCAGAGAACAAAAATTTTTAAATGAAAATAAAAGAAAGCTTTTATCAGTGGTAAGTTTCCAAATTCTTAGCATAAAAATTTCTATGAACAGCTTAAAAAAACAATATCTATGAACTACTAACAAGAAGGTAACCAAGAAATGGTATGATCACAATAAATTCTTTATCTAGATCAGTTAAATCTCCCTTTCAGGTTGTAGGATTACTGGATTTTGAAGTGTACTTACAAACTCTATCTAGAGTCTTTAGACTGTTCAGATCTCCATGTTGTATTCCAAAAATAAAAATATCTTAAAATCAGATAATCATTTACTTATTATCATTACACTTTTATTTTAATATTTATTACTTTTTTGGGTGATGGAGGATAGGAAGTTCAACAGAAAGATGCACTGTTAAATTATATAACAAAACCAACAATTAATGATATGCAAAATAAAAAAAATAAAAAAAAAGAAGAAGAAAAAGAAAAATTAGGCTACATCACACGTGGATGTAAATTATTGAATGCGTTGTGAACAATTATGCTTGAAATTATCGCAAGATCCTAAAACATTACTAGATTCCTTTATTTTTTTTAGTATCATTACTAGATTCCTTTACACAATTGGATTTCTGCGGCCACAAACATAAGAAATCACAAACAAGTACAAGAAATTGAAAAGATTAAAAAACAAGAACAAGATAAACTCTACTTACTGGACAAGATGAGTGAGTCCATCTCGAAATGCATGCACATTGGAAAGAATGATCGCAAAGTGTCGTTAGAATCCCACTGGTATCTTGGTCCAATCTTTCTGAAAATTTGAGAAGTGCATGTTAATCAAGAAAGAGGTTCCATACTTCCATTCTCACAAAACAAAAATGGATCAGTAGAGAACGCAAGAAACTCACCGAGGCAGACAGGGCAAGTAGGTAACTCCGTAAATCCCACCGGCGGCATTCCAGCAATCTCTGCTAATTCCGTATATTCCACAGAAATCGTAAAGAGGATATGGCATACCTCAGCCTGCAACTCAACAAACAACATAAAGCCTCAAGGGATAAACTCAATAACTAAATGCTACCAATTCGTAAAAAGAAAGCAAGAACACTGACCTCCATAGATGAGAAGCGTCGTCCGTTGAGATTGCTGTAGAAGTTGTCAGCACTCTTCTGATCAACAAGCTTAATCAAGACGCTGTACCGGTCCTCAATCCCATCATTTCTGACAAATAAATCAATATTAAAAGAGAAGGTCGAGTTGCTGAACGCCTTCAATTCAATGTTGATGCTGAACAGCCAAGAGAAAAGATTGTACACCTCTACCTGATGAGAAGCATCTCCACGACGCTATCGATGTAAGAACCGCAAAAGCGGATAAAATCATCAGAAGACAAGTGATTTGGAACCGCAACAACGAAAAGCTCAGTGGTGCTTTGAATGTCAAGGTTTGGTGGGACGGAAGTCGAATGGCGGGAAACACTGCGAAAAAGGTGGATGATGCCTCGGCGTTCTTGAATGTTAGGGTTTGGGTTTGCGGAGGCAGAGTCGATGGGAGCACCGCTTTGTTCGCCGGCGAATTCAGTGAGCGGGTGGTTGGTATCCACAGAATGAATTTGGAGGCTGAACATAACGACCGGTGGACTGTAATCGTCGGAAATGGTATCAGTCTATCGGGGTCCAAGATTTTGACTACTACTATCTTTCACAAAGAAATGAAATGATAAATTCATCCGAATTCCCAAGCTTATATAGAATTCATGAGTCATGACGGGGGTCCGGGCAGGGCCTGGATCATAGCCATTTGGCCCATTTCCATAGGTGATAAGCCCAGCCCATGATCACCCTTACTTAAATTAAGTTCTAAGCTTTGTCCTTGGCCTCTTGATCAAGTCAATAATAATGATATTTTGGTTTAAAGTATAGTAAACAGAGAGAGAGGGGGTATTATGGTAGAGAATCACCTAAAAAGTGATGGGGGAGTCTCGCCTTCTAGCACTTTATGCCCCATTTGTCTTTTGGTAAAAAAGGGTGGGTAAGTTGGTTATTGAATTAGTCAATTAATCCCGTTCATTTTTCATCATTAGTGGATTTCATAGAAAATTTACTAACACAAGATGGAACAATATTATCCTTCTAATAATGATTGTTTATAGGTAAAATGGCCATTGTTTAACATTATTTGAGAAACAAAAGAACGCTGATAAATAAACTTACCCGGATAATAAGTGAAAATTTACATAGATAAGTGCATTTATCTAGGTAAATGGTTTCCCGAAAAAAGGAGGGCCTTAATTTTAGGGGTATCAATTGAACCAGATTTAGTCCAATCCAATCCAGTCCAATATGAATCCATTATAGATAGACCAGGTCCAATCCAATGAATACTTTGAACCATTTTGGACCAGTCTAATTCGATGTTTGAACCATCCAATATGTTCAAATTGGTTTTAATTTATAATGGTTCTAACCCAAATCCAGATCATTGACACCTATATTCTTATCTTCTATCAATGGACCAAATATTGATCCAATTTGACCCAATCCAATATAAATTCATTATGGATGGACCAGGTCCAATCAATACCTTGGACCATTAAGTATGGATTTGTTCAATTCAATGTTTTATTGGTCTGTCCAATCCATCAAATTGATTTTGATTTGGAAGGGTCTAACCCAAAACCAGTCCATTAACACCCATACTTAATTTATATGGTAAGTGTGCTCTCAAATGTAATGAAGAAGAGCAATGAAATCATCTCATTCAGTTGATTTTAGATTTTTAGATGACTCAAGTATGATTTAATTTTGGCTTTTGGGTCAAAAGCTCAAAGCAACTCCTCAAAGAATTGGGGTCCAATGGAATCATTATCTAAGACTTTCTCCTGGCAAGTGGCACCTACATGATACATGAATCCTATTTCGCAATCCTTTTTATGTCTATTGTTAAATCATAGGCATAGGGACCAGTTTATGAAAAGGATTTTTACTGTTCAGTCCACCCCCAGAAATCTTAGTTCTACCGTACATGTGGGGTGAATTCTGACCATAGATCGATGCCAAATTTACGGGCAGGATGCGGTTTATGGGGGGGGCTATTAGTAGATTAAGAGGGGGCTGTAATTTCATATTTCTAAGGTGGAGTGCAGTCTACTTATTCTTTTATAAAACCCTTGCCAGCTTATTGACACTATGGGCGGGTTAAAGTGAGTTCACATCTGCGCCCCACAATATCCCACAGTACATCCCGCCTTGTATTGGAAACATCTCCCGATGATGACATCATCGATTCTGGTGCTATCATCAAAAAATATTTTCAATACACGGTGGAGATGTGCTGTGGGACGTTGTGGGGCGCAAATTTGGACTCGGTTAAAGTATGGTTAACCACTTTTGGGAAACACCCAGCCTGAGCACGAAAAGACCAGGGCAAAATTGAATCTTATTTTTTAAAAGGCTAGGAAGCTTGCAGTTGGGGACCATTGCTTGGTGTAATGAGGTCCACTCTGGTTTAGTGATAGGGTACCGTGGCTGCAGCCTTCATCCAAGTTGGAGGGTCCAAGGACTAGGGGTTTGGTTGTGTAGCCCATCGCCCCCCCCCCCCYCCCTATGAGGCTATGATAAGGGTATAGTTTAAGCTTGGTTCTAAGTCTGGGACAGGGTTGAGCCCATCCTGGTTTTGAGCCTGTCTTTTTATATATAAAATATTGCATACATATAATATTTTATATTAAATGGCATAAGTTTGCATACATATTATAAATGTGGTATTATAATCTTTTTGTATAAAATATATAATATAATACATATGTATACATTATTATAAAACATACATATTTATGCAGGTCTGGGTTGGGCCTGAACAAAAACCTAAGCTCAAGCATGGATTTTCAGGGCTGGGCTTGTACAGGCCAAGCTGAAATGATCACCCCTATGCTATGTCCAAGTTGGACCAGGTATGGACCCAGGCTATAACTTTTATCATAGCTTCATAGGTGCTAAGCCCTGCCTAGGGCTGGCCCATGATCACCCTTAAGGGCTTTTTTCTTTTTTCTTTTTTCTTTTTTCCTTTGTTTTTTAAGCCTACCCTTGAGGGCAATGATGTTATTATAAATAACCTTTGGAGAGTAATTGAGTAGACAGTAAATAGTTCAATATGGATGCCGCCACACTTTCAAATAAAATTGTTTTACTAGGGCTGCAACTTGGGCCGGGTTAGCCCAAATCCTTTCGATAATAATTGAGTGGACAGTAAGTAGTTAAATATGGATGCCGCCACACATTCAAATAAAATTGTTTTATTAGGGCTGCAACTTGGGTCGGGTTAGACCAAATCCAACACTAACCTTAAAAATCAAGTTGATGATTGGGTTAGGGTTAGGGTCTGTTCGTTTGCTCTGACGTTTGACTTCTGAAAGTGCAATAATTATATTAAGAGGTATATTGGTATTGGTAGGGGTGAGATTCGGTTTATTCTCGACTGGCTAAGCCTAGTAAAATTCTCTAAGTGCCAAAATTTGACAATAGCAACCAGGAAATATGGATTATGATCAACTAGCAACAAGGAAATAGCAGTACATAAATGGTATACAGCAGATGGCCCAGAATTACTAGCTAGCCAAGTCAAAACAAACACCTTATCATGATGATTCTGAACAGAATATAAATAGAACAAATCATAATCTAGCAAAACAAACACCTTTAATCTTCAATGGCAGTCACGGAACATGGTCTTAATAACCAACAACCACACATTTCTCAAAGTAGCCCACATAAGCCAATAGAACCAGTGAAACAAAGAAGAAAGCATGTTCCACACAAACCCTATTGTTTTGCTTTTCTTCTTTTTTCTGCCCACTTCTCTAATCATAATCCAACTGGAATAAAACAAGAGAACCCACAGAGTTCCAACTTGGGAACATTCCACCATCAACTCCTTACAAGATTTCATGTCTTTAATAAGAAATGACAGATAAAGGTTAGCATGAAGCCAAATTCCCTAGATGTTTTATATGTTATGTATCTGCATTAGTTGTTTTGTAAAGTCTTTCCAATAAGAGGATCCCAATCAGATCTCTGAAAGGCATATCCTCCTCCATTTCAATTTTAAACGAAGAATCATTTTTCTCTTTGCAATATTTATTGCTCTTTGAGTGAGACCCATCTTCTATGATGCCAAGTCACTATCAACTCTCACTTTAATTTGTGAGATTCCAATCTGAAGATCAGGATTGGATAGTAATCTTTTCACCTAACCACCTTATTCTCTACCACATTTTTCCTTCTCTATTTTCTGCTTTCTGTTTTGGGTGATAGTACCATCAATCTAGGAAATTTTAGTATAGTTGAACTTCCTCTTTTGGATTACCCTACATCAAAGCCTCTTACACTTACCAATTACTGCTCTAAAGCCAACACTAGTCCATATCATATGGTTATCAATGGGCCGGGAAAATGTTGTATCAACTAAAGAAAATGGGAATCAGGGAATGGAATGCATAAAATAAAGAAAAGGAAAAAACATATGTAACCATATCATAAATGTTGTATAAGAAAACAGAATAACTACAACATTGTAATAGAATGGCAGGAGGTATCTTTTCTGTTGCAGACTTGTTCAATCCACCAAAAAAGGTGGCAGTGGATACCACCATTTGAAAACAGAATTCCTAGTTCCAATAGCCAACCTTTTTTGTTGAATCTAAAACAGTTAGATCAGCTCTTAAACATCCAAATTTTCTAGCAGCAATGAAAGAAAAGTTAGAGATTTTAAATGATTAATCTACTTAGACATGGTTCCTTGTACTTTCTGGCATGAATACTGTTGGTAGTGTATGTATGCCAAAATGAAATTGAAAGCAGTGTTTTAAAAGGCGTGGGAGGCATACGCCTGGAGGCGCGCCTCCCAGGCGAGGCACTCCCAAAACGCCCTGAGGCGTATGCCAGAGGCGCTGACACCTCTGAGGCGTACACCTCAGGTGCAAGAGGCGTACGCCTCTTGCGCTTTTTTCATGAGGCATGCTAGAGGCGTACGCCTCATGCACATATGATATCAAAAGACAAAAAAAAAAAGAAAAAAGAAAAAAAAAGGCAAGGAAAGGAAAGGAAAAGAAAGGGAAGGGAAAGAAAAAGAAAGAGAAGAAAAAAAAAAAGAGAAAAGGAAAGAAAAGGAAAGGAAAGAGAAGGGAACAAAAGATAAGGGAAAGAAAGTGGTTTGCCCCCTGCCCCTTCGGCTGGGGGCGAAGCCCCCCCAGACCTCCCCGCCCCCTTCTCGATGCAGCCCAATTTGTTTTTTTTTGAGTTAGGGGGTCTTGCTCCGCTTCGACAAGACCCCCCCTTTCAACTAATGTTATGCAACTTTATTCTTCTTAATATAAAATATTTTTATTAAAAATAAAGAAAAAATGAGATCCCCCCTTTCTCTTCATCCTCCTCCTAACCCCCGTCCTCTTAAGGAGGCTTACGCCTCCTTGTGTTCGGGAGGCTTACGCCTCTTGCGTTCTGAACTACGCCTCACGCCTCTAGGTAGTGGAACGCCTCGGGTCACACCTCCGCGTTTTAAAACATTGATTGAAAGTATGAGTCATTAGAGGACCTTAAAGCATGTATTTTTGCTAATTGGTTTAACCAAGTGCAAGATGTCGACTGCTAAAAAACTTTCAACCCTGCTTTATGCACAAATGATATAACTAGTTCTGACAATTGCTTTCACTCTCAAATGGGAAATCTAACAATTTAGACATAAAAAAGATGCACATCTTCATAGGTTTCTCAAGGAGCTAGTGTACATGTGGTAAGAAAAAACACCAGGCTTTCAAGATGCAAAATATTGCATTATGTTTGCAAATGCCAAACATATATAAAAACTCCAAATCTTGGTTTCACAGATTTTCTACTCATTTGTTATATGTAA